CTGGATTGGATGACTGGAGTCCAATAGCATAGCACCAAAGATCCACTCTGGGAACTGGAAGATTGAAGTAAAGTTGATAGAGGAAGACAAAATAAATTCCTAGGAAATCAGCTGCCCCCAGCAGCTGGTTCGCACAGTCTCACAGCCTGCCAAGTCATCCAAGCTTGCAGTGCCTTAAATACTTCTTGCTGACTTAGGAGAATTGGACCATTCACCATACTCTCCACCTAGTAGCCTTCTTAGCAGTGGTAGTTGCCATGGCAAAGGTCCACCTGGTGGGTCTTTGCTAGGAGAGAGGAAGAGTGCATAGGAAAAAACTAGTACATGTCTCAATCAGTGAGTCAGCTGGCTGTTATCTCTAACAGGATATAAGGAGAAATTACAACTGAAGGAAGAGCCTGCCTGGTATGTCAATTTCTATGCCGATTTCATATAGATTTTACTAAGAAATTTGACATTTCCTTTGCCTGGAGCCCTGGTGGCAAAGTGATTAAGAGCTTGCCTGCTACCCAAGAGGTCAGCAGTTTGAATCCACCAGCTGGTCCTTGGAAATTCTATGGGGCAGTTCTACTCTGTCTTATAGGGTCACTATAAGTCAGAATCACTCGAGGGCAGTGGTTTTTTTTTTTTGTTGTTGTTGTTGTTTTTATGTGTGTACTGAATAAAGATGGTGGTTGTTCTTCCATGTGCCTGTTGTTCTAGCACTTAATAATAAAATACGCCAATGGATCATACAAATGCCGTGCACAGAACAGTCACTATAATTACCCCATAAAAAGTATGTGGAATTTAATTTATTATCTGTTATGGATTGAGTTGTATCACCCAAAAATATCTGTCAGCTTGGCTGGGTCATGATTCCCATTGTTGCATGATTGTGTACCATTTTGTAATCTGATGTGATTTCCTTATGTGTTGTAAACTCTATCACCATGATGTAATAAGATGGATTAGCAGCAGTTATACTGATGAGGTATACAAGACTGAATAGTGTCTTAAACCAATCTCTTTTGAGATATAAAAGAGAGAAGCGAGCAGAGACACATGGGAACCTCATACCGCCAAGAAAGCAGTGCTGGGAGCAGAGCGTGTCCTTTGGACCTGAGGTTCCTGCACAGAGAAGCTCCCAGACCAAGGGCAGATTGATTACACGGACCTTCCTCCAGAGCTGACAGAGAAGGCGTTCCCTTGGAGCTGATGCCCTGAATTTGGACTTGTAGCCTACTGGACTGTGAGAGAATAAATTTCTTCGTTAAAGCCATCCACTTGTGGTATTTCTGTTATAGTAGCACTAGATGACTAAGACATTATCCTTGTGAACTTTTGGAAGGAATAGATTCTGCCTTAATCATATGCAATGGGCCATCATCAGTATTCGGGTTTAAGTGTACTTATGAGTAATTATGAAGAAAATTTTTGACCTTTGTACGTAGGGTCACTATGAATCAGAATCAACTCGATGGCAACAGGTTTGGTTTTGTTGGGTTTGGTATATTTTGTACTTCAGAGAGAACATCTTTCAGCTCCAACATCTCAGTGTTGAAGGGACCTTAAAGTTTGTCTCAGACCCTACTCTGCATAAAGCCATGGCAATGTTTACTAGACTGTCCCACTCGATGTTCACGTCGTTACATTTCATTTTTCACTAGCACTGAAGTGACTGTGTAATGTATTAATGATAACAGTTTTTAGTTGCCAAAACTTCTTGCAGCATTTAGAAGTTTGCCTGATTACTTATGACACTTTTTATCATAATCAAGATTATCTCAAAGTTGGAGTTATAAAAAATAGTTATTTCAAGCTGCTCAAATGCATCTTGAAATCATCTGGGTGGCTGTCATTACATTCCAATGACAGTTACTTGTGGAAAAAGAGAATTTTCTCTTGTTAAGGAAGGTTTATCTTATAAATTACAATTTGTAGGCTTGGGTTTCTGATAGCGAATGTTCAGGAAGATATTTTTTCCCCTCTGAAATAATTTGGTAGCAGGATGATGTTATTTTTCTGGTCAAGGGGTGAGACATTCCTTTCTCTCACTGAGCACAGCATTTGCCACGTGTAATTCCTTTACCTACATGTTCCTCTCTAAGTTATTTCTATGTCAATATTTAATTTGCTCCTCACAGCATTAGGTAAAACAGGAGCTGTCCCTATCTGCGAACACAGTCTTGAAAGTCTAGGACTAACCTTTGTTTCACATTCTTCTATTGCCTAACCTCAAGCATGACATCCACCATGTATCTGTCAGTTTGTTGTACTGTGGTGGCTTGTGTGTTGCTGTGATACTGGAAGATTTGCAACCGGTATTTCAAATACTGACTTGAAGCACTTACTGATGAAGATCAAAGACCACAGCTTCCAGTATTGATTATATTTCAACATAAAGAAAACAAAAATCCTTACAACTGGACCAATAAGCAACATCATGATAAACAGAGAAAAGACTGAAGTTGTCAAGGACTTTATTTTACTTGGATCCACAATCAACACCCATGGAAGCAGCAGTCAAGAAATCAAAAGACTGCATTGGGCAAATCTGCTGCAAAAGATCTCTTTAAAGTGTTAAAAAGCAAAGATGTCACTTTAAGGACTAAGATGCACCTGACCCAAGACATGATATTTTCAATAGCCTCATATGCATGTAAAAGCTGGACAATGATTAAGGAAGAATTGATGCCTTTGAATTATGGTGATGGCAAAGAATACTGAATATACCATGGACTGTCAGAAGAATGAACGTACCTGTCTTGGAAGAAATATAGCCAGAATGCCCCTTAGAAGCAAGGATAGCAAGACTTTGTCTCACATACTTTGGACATGTTATCAGGAGGGACCAGTCCTTGGAGAAGGAGATCATGCGTGGCACATAGGAAGACCCTCAACAAGATGGATTGATAACAATGGCTGCAACAATGGGCTCAAACATAGCAGTGATTGTGAGGATACCACAGGACTAGGTAGTATTTTGTTCTGCTGTAAACAGGGTCATTATGAGTTGGAATCGACCGAAAGCACCTAACAAGTGTGACATAGTTGGGTCTATATCATTTCAGAAAATGTTTAAAACACAAATTATTTATTGCAAATGGTTAGAATATAATTACTTTTACCCCATCAGTTCAAGGCTTAAGATGTTCAAATAGCAATTTGAAATTATTTTAAATAATAATTTCAAAATTGTTAAATAATCTTTGCTAAGCTCATAGTTTTGCAACCTGTAACAAGTTATAAAGGCTAAGTCTAGATGAAACAAATTCTTCTTCCTCTTGATTTTAATAGGATAATGTTTCTTCTGCATTAACTGACATAGATTCCCTAGTTTTTCCATGCAGACTCAATAAGAATCTGTAATTCATAACAATGCCAAACCAACATAAGACAAGATAAAACAAACTGAATTATACTTTTACTAACATTCCTCTTAAGGAGATTCAGATATGCACAAGTTAATAAATATATTGTGTATATGTACAATACATCACATGGTAGAAAAAATGAACAAGTATTTGCGATGGGTTTGTGCAGGAGGGATTAGAGACAAGCAGCAAAGGGCACAAACACTTCCATTTCAGTATGGGCAGGATGCTATCTGCAGAATGCCTTCTTACTCCTCCTGGACAGAACCCTCTTTAATATAATCACCCAATAAACTACAATGGATTAACATTAAGGGTCTGATGCAGAGAAAGCAAATTCACAGTTAAGGTTGTCCTTTAACGTTCGGTGCAATTGAGGGCACCAAAAAAGTAGTTAAGTGGCCCCCTGTGGTGTTCAGACGTTGGAAGGCACTGCAAACTGTGAATTTTCTAGCTTTTAATGTTTGTCTAAAACCCTTAAGATTTTTCTACTACCCTTGCTGCTACGGCATTTTCTTGAGTTTGGTCCCCATTGCCCCTTTTACACGTATACATTTTGCTTTCATATATAAAAGCCTGACACACAGCTGAGTTGACTCAGAAATATAACACTGGGAAGAAGAAAAAAGGGTATGGGTGGCCTTGAAGCCATCCCAAATATGATGTATAAATATCAAAGTCTCATGAAAAAAAATTTCTTCATGCTAAGAGTTTAAATATCCAACAGGAAATATAAAAGATTAAATAATGGGGGGCGGGGAACTCATGGAGCATACGGTCCTTTGTGTCACAAAATTCCTAAGACTTTTTGAAAATGTACCATTACCTGTCTCCAGCTATTTCCTTTTAAGTGGACGTCTGATCTATTTTCTAATTCTGTATACTCTTTAAAAATGATAGTAAAATTTCACAAAAGGTTTTGCCTGTTTTGTTTTGTATTGTTTCATGTTTGTGGTCCATCTGGAGATATATAGTGAGTGGTTAGTTTCTTCAAATGAAACTGTATGAACCTATATTGTTCACATGCCAAAAAAAAAAAGGAATGAACATTGCACACATGGTAAATGGACACTAAAGAAATGTCACTGTTAGAAAACAACTAAAATATGCACTAGAAACTGAGGGTTTGGATTAACAGTTGCAATGTTCATCCACCTTCATCACATAAATTGTTATGTTCAAGAATTGCATCCCGTGCAAAGCACAAACATGTCAATTTCAGCCCACGGGGCATTTTTCCCTACGTTTATAACCCCTTGAAAATAGAGGTTTCATCTAGAAAACCTAACAGGTCCTCAGCTGCTTTCAACATTGTAATATATTCATAAGGCAAGTATACTGGCAAACATCTAACAAATTAAATGGCATCAGGGTGGGGTCAAAATTCATAATGCTGGAAAATGGACCAAACCAACCATGGGATACAAAGTAGAAATCAAAGAAGAAAAGGAAAATGTGGAACAAACAATATTAAAAGCAAAACATTATGGGGAGCCTTTCAGCCAGTATTAGAGAAAATGACGAGTATGTGAGTGTAAGCTAAACATTAAATGTTAAGATGCAAAACTATCTCATTAAGATTATACTGTAAGGTTCACATGTGAGAGAAAAGTATCTAGTTTAAAAAAAAAAAAAATCACATACCATCATAGTAGACAATCGCTCCTACCAGTTTGTCCTTCTGGAGCATTGGAAAATGCTCAAGGGCTCTTGATTTGCTAAGGACGTAACTGCTTTTCAGGCAATTACTTCCTGCAACCAGATCATATAGCTTGATTCCTACCCAGTAGTAAGGTAACTGCCACCACCTACAGCATAAACAAGGGGAAAGGTTTCTTTAGAAATAGACTATCGCATGACATAATGTCACTTTAATTTACAAAATGTTTTCCATTTAAGAAAATCAAAGCATACCTAGCAGTGTATACAAAAGAAACGAGAACTCCACAACTGTTTCTGACAACTTAGCTGAATTATATAAGCAAATGAATCAGTGAGACTTTAATTAAACGATCTCTAAGGCCATGGTTCTCAACCCTGGCTGCATATTAGAATTCTCTGGGGAGCATTAAAAAAAAAAAAAAAAAATACTGATGCCTGTGTCTCACACGTGCAGAGACATATTGAAGTAGCCTAGCATGGGAACCCAGGTGATCCTAATGTGAAGCCAGGGTTGAGAATCATCAGTCTGAGAAGTTCTAAGTAATTGATGACAAAAGATTGACAAAAATTATAAAATCTGTTTCTAGGCCCCCATAACACTCTTAGGGCTAAAAGTGTTACATAATCCACTTTTTCTTATTACCTGTGTTCCAGCTTAAGGCAAACTTCATAGAGAGCTCAACAACATGAAGAAGACTTGGGTTTACAATTTATAATGTGACACCTCCAAACCAAATGTCAGCTAAAGTCAACTCAGGAATTTAAAATCACCCAAAATGGTTTGGCTTTGGAGTTGGCACGTGATGGGGTCAGATTCTGCAGATCTGGACTTTGCATTTTACACACTACACATCGCCTTCCTGTGTTCTCCAGTGACAGTGTAGCTGCTCAGCTATAAATACTCAGTGGAGTAAGAAGGTACTGATTACAAATGCACAACACTACCACCTTTGCCTCCACGAGCTGGTGCTCAGAGGTGGGTCTGTAGAAAGTAATTTAGGAAAAGCCGCACTTTTAAATACTACAAAGGAAAATATTTGAAAAAGATTGGCATAAATTAAAACCACATTAAGAAATATACATTGAGGGATTATTTTCATTAAAACTGTTGTTCTATTGACCTCAGATAAGCAAATAGTACACAGGTGATATCAAAAGGCTTACTTGTAAACTGGAAGCATTATAGGTAATGGAGATGATAAATGGGGAGCAATTTCTAGAAGGTTGGCACGCTCATGAAGGGCTTCTTTTACCATCCTATACTGAAAAGCAAAACAGGGAAAATTAGTTTGGCAGTAACAGATCATAATATTTTCAAATGGCAAACATACACCCTGCCAACTGATTGATACACAGAAACCTCTCTACCTCCGAGTGAGGATAGCTCCCTCCTAATCAAATTTCTAATAATACATCATGCTGTCAACCTCAAAGATTTTTAGAAACCTTAACTGTATTTGCATAGGAGAAAAACATGCTGTCAGAGTTACCAGGTGTAAGATATTTCCTTGACTTGAGTTACAAGATTATTGTAACAATTTATCTTGCATTCTCCGTACCTATTGTCCCTTTTCTCAGTTCCCTATAATATTTTCTTCATTTGTTCAAATTTCACACTAAAAGTTTCCTTCCTGCCTCCATGAAGCCCAGCAAGGATAATACATAACAGTTGCACAGTACTTTATAGATTGCATAAAAGTTTTTGTCTTAATTCCTTTATTCCTCATTTTACTTCTGTGAAGAGCCACCATTACTATTACAATACTAATTTTACAGATGAGAAAACCGAGGTTCAGAGCGAGAACACATGACAACTCGTCTGATTCTCAAGCCTCTGTTCTTTTCCTTTCATCATCATTATGCTGAAGAGAAACGTAAGAAAAGGGGACAGATTCGAAAGTGACAATGTCAAGACCCTGCTGCTGTGTTTTTCCTGTACGATAAGCAGATAGGAAGTTCAGCTGATTTTTTTTTTTTACCCCTCTGGGAAATGTCATCTTCCACACTGCCTTGGCGGTTTTCAAATGGTGGCAGACTGGACACAATAAAGTGTGGCATAAGAAAAGCATGACTCAGATTGTCATTTCCTTAAGAATATGTCAGTGAAAATACGAGCGCATGACCGTAGCCGCTGTTAAGTGGATCAATGTGACACTTCCCCTGCACTACAACACAGCTCCCCAAAATTGTCTGGGAAGTAGCAATTTGGTGGCCATTGGCAAAAGCCTAATCACAATTGTTAGACGGCAAAACATCCAAAAGTGATTTTGTAAATTTGCCTTTGTAGGAAAAGCCCCTGATTACCCATAAACGTAATACTACAGGAAAGAACTGACACACCTCTCCTTAAAGATATGGCAGAAGAATACACTAAATAGGTATTTCCAACAGGAAAAAATGTTAAAAGCCATAAAAAAAAAAAAAAAGAAAACCTGATTTAATTGGGTAGAAAAAAGCTTCATCGCAATTTTTGTTTAACAACCAGCATACACAATTACCTGCTCAATATCCAACTTCATGATAGCCTTCTGAAGATATCTCACACCACCATGGATCAATTTAGTGCTTCTGCTGCTGGTCCCTGATGAGAAATCATCTCTCTCTACAAGGGCTGTTTTTAGTCCTGTGTAACCAGAAAACCAAATTAACTTCTTAAATTACACAATTTGTATGTAATTCATTAAAGGCACTTCTCCAGGGTAGAGACAATCACAAGAAAAATTACTCTGAACACGGATAAATTTGTATTCAAAGTGCAGTACACTGTCTATATTATAATGAAGGGATTTTAGTCTCTTCCTGGGGGAAAAGTCAAACCAGAACTAGAAGCATATTAAACTGTGAATGAATCGCAACTAGAAAATATTACAATACAATTTCATGGCAGTAACATACACTGGTGCTTTTAGAAGGCCATAGGAGACCCTGGCACCTATCTCTTCCCATGTAGTTAATTCAGCATTAGGAAGTCTTCGGGAACTTCCCTTCACCCCTCACTACAACAATACAGTCATGTTTCAGCCCCTCATCTCTGATCTCTAAACACAGCATCAAAAAGTGCAGATTATACCTCCGTCTATGTGCCATCACCTATTTAGAAATGCATCTAGGGTAATGTTATTTGTTGTTGTTGTTAGCTGCTGTCCAGTCAGCCCTCAACTCATGGCAACTCCATGTACAAGAGGATAGGACCTTTGTGATCCATAGGGTTTTCATTGGCTAATTTTCTGAAGTAGATCGCCAGGCCTCTCTTCCTAGTCTGTCTTAGTCTGCGAGCTCCGCTGAAACCTGTTCGACACCATAGCAACACGCAAGCCTCCACTGACAGGCGGTGGTTGTGCATGAGGTGCACTGGCCAGGAAGTGAAGCCAAGTCTCCCACATAGAAGGCAAGAATTCTACCACTGATCCACCAGTGCCTCGGGGTGGTGCTATAGGAAGTATAAAATGGGAAACGGGGTGGCAGAAAGCATCAAAACAGAAGAAAGAAGAGAATAACCTCTGATATTAAGTAATTTACATCTAGTTAAAAACATGCAAGCATGACAATAGTTTAGAATTACAAAGAAAAATACATGTCATTACAAATGAAAACAGTGTAGTGTATCCACGGGTAAAGGAAAGAAAATACTGGCAAGCTGAGGCTGAGCAAAGTCAGGGCAGTCTATAAGTCTCCACACCCACCCCTCTTCTTATTTGGAGATTGCAGTAAATCTCTTAGAGATGGTGTTCGGAGAAGAAGCCTTTGAAACCAGTTTTTTTTCTTGCAAAGACACCCTTGCCTCTTCAGGACTAGACAGGACCATACACTAATTGAGAGATGAAAGCCAAAACCTGCAAACGCCCAAAGTATATGTCAACACCAAGCCATGAGGAATTTTCGTGGCTGGGCAATGCCTGGTATTCTCTTGGGGAATGAGAGAATGTCATAGAATCCAATTACAATGGGAATATGTAACTGGAGTAGTTTTGGGCTCACAAAGCTCACATAAGAGAACCTGTGCATGCATTCAATTCAGAGCCATTCATTACTTTTAATACCAAAGGGTCGTTTTTATAACTTTTAACAGTTTAAATATCGTACCCAAATGTCATCATAAAATCAGGGCAATTCCCTTGACTCAAAAGGACAAAATATTTGGAAACTGTGGAGAGAAAAGTAGAGAACTTTGATTCAAGGGCAGAAACTGCTAATGCCCTAACTAACTAGCAAAATAACACAGAAATTACAGGTATTGCAGACTCAGGTCACTCTCTATATCCATATAAACCAGAAAAAGCTGTAAAATGCTCAACTATTAAAGCTATAGCAGTGCTTTGTAAACTTAGTATCGGATGTATTAAAAACACCAGAAAAACAGACAAACATAGTACATATCTTTGAAAAGAATATTAATGGAGAGGCTAAGTGCCAGACAAACAGGCTAGTGCTGGAAATGAATTAGGATGGGCCACATTTTCAAGTAGCCTCCATCCCAGAAAAAGGCAAGTAAACAAGTGCAGGTGCTATGTTTGAAAATACAGAGGACTCTCATCTTAGTCCGGTACAGAAGTTAAATTTAGGACATAAACTCCAAATTATATCTAGTCAAAATTACATTTGAAACTCTGAAGAATGCACTGTCTTTGGTGGGTTTTTTCACTTTTTCTTAGTAAGTCCAACACAGTTCTTCGTCCAGCACTGAAATAGACCATTTTTTTCTTCAGCTGCAAATCAGATGAGGAAGTTAACTTTCAAATGGCATTTCAGAGCCAGATTATTTAAAATGTACCTCTCTTTAAACCCTGGAATCACAGTCATGGCATCAAGATGCTCGCACCACGAGCGGCAGGGAAGTAAGACCAAGATAGGACAAGCAGGTTCCCATCCAGCCCAAGCTTTCCTCACTGGGGACTGCCCAGCAGGGCCCTGCCGGCTTTGGAGGCTGTAGTAGGCAGACTTCTAAGAAGGCCCCCAGTGACCAGTATTTCAGCCCTGGTTGAATCTCCTCTCCTTGAGCGTGGGCTGGCCCTAGTGAATTGCTTCTAACTAAGTGAATACGGCAATACAACGGCCCGTCACTTCTGTGATTCTGTTACAAAAGCCTGTGACTTCTGTCTTCCTGGCACTCTCGTCCTCTTGCTTGCTCACTCTGATGAAGCAAGTCATCTTGTGAGACAACAAGGAACCAAGGAAGGCCTCCAGACAGCAGATCATGAGGCACTGAGGCCTCAGCCCAACAACCCGCAAGGAAATGATTTTGCCAACAACCCCGAGTCAGCTAGGAAGCAGATCCTTCTAGCTGAGCCTGAAGATGACTGCAGCCTTGTGAGAGACTCAGAGTCAGAGGACCCAGCTAAGCCATGTCCAGATTCAAACTGAGTGATAATAAATGTTATCGTTTTAAACCCACTAAATTTTGGAAGAGTTTGTTGTTGATACAACCCTGTGTGAGGAATAACTATAGCCAAGGCAGGAGTTTTTAATTGTACTGTGGGGGTAGGTCTTCAGAAAAGGCTAAGTCTAAAGATGAGTATGTGTTCAAGACGGGTGGAGAAGAGAAAAAGCGTTATCACTGGCAAAGACCAGCTGAAGCAAGAAAACGGCAAATGCTTGAAACAGTCCAGCTTAAGGAGCTGCTTATAACCTGGGGCCAGAGTGCAAAGTATGAGAGATGATATGACAGAGATCCAGTGGGAGGAAATGGCAAGGTAGATCACAAAGGTCATTCATCCACACTGGGGCATTTGAACCTTGTCCTGTGGGCTGTTGTTTCTCACACGTAATATCTAGACCTCCTCAAAAGAAAAATGTCTCTTAGAACTCTGAGAATATGGCTTTGTATCACCCATCTGTCAGTTTGTCACACTATGATTGGTGGCTTACATGTTGCATGATCCTGGAAGCTATGCCACCAGTAATTCAAATACGGACACAGTCACCCACGATGGACAGGATCCAATGGAGCTTCCAGGCTAAGACAGAATAGAAACAAAGGCCTGGCTATCTACTTTCAAAAATTAGCCAATGAAAACCTTATGGATCACAACAGAACACTGACCAGTATAGAGCGGAAGATGAGCCCCTAGGTTGGAAGGCACACAAAATACACACTAGCCGCAACAATGGACTCGACCGTGCCGATGGTAAGGAAGATGGCACAGGCCTGGGCAACGTTTCATTGTGCTGTACACGGGGCTGCCATGAGTCGGAGCCGACCTGATGGCAACTGACAACAACAGCAACATCACGGATCCGTTTGAGGAAAAAAATGCTTTACTAGAAAGCGTAAGATTTGGTATCAATTCAACACAAGCATGAACACGAGTGCTGTATTCAATTACAAGGTATCCATTCTGGGGAAATAGGGTGTGCTTGTTAATTTCTTTATTGTTATGATAAAGGAATAAAATTTAAAATTTCTCAGTTGTCAGATACTCTTTTGAGAAATACTATTGTACTGCCCATCAGGGGAACCACCAGGGTGCCTTAAGTTGAAAAGTCAGACTAATGTTCTGGAAAGATTTCTCGGGCTCTAAGGGTAGGAAGGAAACCCTGGTGGTGAAGTGGTTAAGTGCTACGGCTGCTAACCAAAAGGTCAGCAGTTTGACTCTACCAGGCGCTCCTTGGAAACCCTATGGGGCAGTTCTACTGTGTCCTTTGGGTCACTATGAGTCGGGATCAACTCGATGGCAACGGGTTTGTTTTTGTTGTTGTTTTTTTTAGGGGTAGGGAAGGTGGGCTGAAGAGGGAGAAGGGCTGGAGGCAGGAGACTATTTCAGAGGACAAGTAGCATGCGGCGTAAGCGGAGCAATGAAGGCTCCAGCCTCTCAAGGGCAGAAAATGGGTATTGGAGAGGAACATGAAGAGAATTGTACGGGCTTCAGCTGTCAGGATGGATTTTTTTTTATTTCAAAACTGAGACAGTGTGAGGCAGGGAACTGCTCTAGGAATTAGCAAGCCATCTCAGGAGGATATTTCAGGATATTTAAGTGAGAGCTAACACTTTAAAGCCTCAAAACTGTTTTTGCAAGTATTGGACATTTTAAAAGTTATTCACATGTACTTATGTGAGAAACCCTAGTGAATACCAACAAAAGTTAAAATGAGCCTCTCTGTCAAAACAGGCTGTTTTTCTTGTCCTATTATTTTCAAGAAGCCCTGGTGGCACAGTGGTTAAGAGCTTGGATGCTGACCAAAAGGTCGGCAGTTCGAATCTACCAGCCAAAAGAATTACCAACCAGAATTTCTGAAGAGAAATGATACTGCTCCCTCCAGAACAATAAAATAAAAACTCAGCTTCCAAAGTTACAGCTAAATTGATATATTAAAGCACCATGTAACCTAACAAAGTATTACCAAAAGTTTACTGAATCACAAAAAAATAGATATTCTAAAAAAGGAAAATATTTAAAACATTTCAGCTGCTATTATATGCTTGTTGTTGTATGCTGTTGAGTTGATTTTCAACTCATAGGGACTCCATGTAACAGAGCAGAACGCCCCATTGGGTTTTCTAGCCTGTAATCTTTACAAAAATAGATCTCCAGGTATTTCTTCCATGAAGCCGCTGGGCAGGTTCAAACCACCAACCTTTTAGTTAGCAGCTGAGCGCTTAACCATGGCACCACCAGGCCTCTAGGA